GCCCAGGCTTAAACTCCCGGCCTCAAGCAATCCTTTGTCTTGGCCTCCCAGAGTGCTGGGATTACAGGCATGAGCCACTGCGCCCGGCCTCTGCCTAGTTTTAACAGTTGCTGAGAGGAGGATGTTGAAGTAGATGTCTTCTTGGTGGGTTAATCCTTTTGTCATTAAGCAGTTGTTACGGTCACTTCCTTTTCACGCCATTGGTGAAGGAGGGGTCCCTGCCCTAAAGTGTAGGAGATGGCTGAACGCAACACCTGGTGTGGATGGATGAGATTGACAGCAGTGTTTTAGTCACATATACCCACAGCTCAGAGGAGAACACTGAATGCTACACAAGGTCAGATGGGCACCGTACTCTGTAGCGGAGTGAGGGCTGGGGTCTGAGGAGGGAGGCAGGCTTGGTAGTAACAAGAGCGCACAATGACTAATGGTTCCTGAGGGGGAATGCAATTGGCTTGTTTGAATAAATTCATGGGCTGGCAGACAGGTGAAGTGAAACTTCTTAGGCTGAGGTGCAGCTGCTGTGGCTGATAAAAGAACTAGCCAGGTGGGGAGCCTTTCCTGCTGGGTGGCAGGGTAGGAGCTGTCTGTCAGAAACAGGAAAACCCATGGCTAGGCCTTTGGGGCACTGTAAGGCTCAAAGATGTCAAGGCAGCATAGGAAATTTTAGATCTTAAAATTCAGCGAAGACCCTCTCCAGCTCTGGTAAATTATTTTGCTTGAAGTCTACTTCATGATATATTAATATATTCATTCCTGCTTCCTTACAAAATTAATGATTATATAAGATATCTTTCTCCATTCTTTTACTTTCAACCTACTTAGGTCCTTAAGTGAATTTGAAGTTTCTTATGAACAGTATCTAATTGGGCCATGTGTTTATTTTAGGCTCTCCATCAATCCGTCTTTTGGTTTATTTAGACCATTTACATTTAAGGTGCTTATTGTTATGTAATTGCTTAAGTCTGATGTTTTTTTTATTTTCTTTGTTTCCTTTTTCTTTCCTTCCATCTTCATCTATTTCTGTATAATGTAGTTGCATGTATCTCTTTGTATAGTCTTACAGTGTTTGTTCTGGATGTTACAATATGCGTATTGTAATATAGTAGTCCACTGGTACCAGTATTTACTACTTCAAACTGTGGAAACCTTCCTTCCATTTAGGCCTCTTTACTTTTCTACTTTTGTAAATCACTGGCTTGAGTATCAGGTGGTGGTATAGTTTTTGTTTCAGTTATCAAATGTGATTTTAAGAACTGTGAATTGTCTAGTGCATGTATCCACATTTCTGGTCCCTCCCGTGATCCCATGTTCATCCCTTCTGCATAAGAACATTTTGTAGCCGTTTTTTTATTTTGATTTTTTTGTTTTAATATTTTGTATTGTAGAAATGACAGAACATATCTCTGTAGCCCTTTTCTTTAACATTTCTAAATTTACCAGTGACAAATTCCTGTATTCTCTTCCTCTGAGAATGTCTTTATTTCTCTCTTCATTTCTGAAGGGTAGTTTCATGGGATATAGAATTTGTAGCCAACAGTTTTTTTGTTTGTTTGTTTGTTTTTGTTTGTTTGTTTTTTAGCAATTGAAAATGTTGTGCCACTTCTTTCTGGCCTCCATGATTTTAGAGGAGAAATACAATGGCATTTGAGTTGGTGTGTCCCTACAGGCATTCTGCCTCTTTTGGTCTTTGTTTTTAGTTTTGAAAGTTTAATCAGTGTTGCTTTCTTTTGGTATACTTTGAGGTTTGCCCAGCTTCTTGAATCTGTAAGTTTATATCTTTCGCCAAATGTGGGAAGCATCAGGAATCAGTTATTTGCATGCTTTCACAGCTCTGGTCTCCTGTAGGACTCAGATAACATAAATGCAGGGTCTTTTGTTATTGTCTCACAGGTCCGTGCAGCTCTGTTCATTTGTTTTCAGGTTATTTTCTCTCTATTGTTCAGACTGGGTGAATTCTGTTGATCAGGTTTCAGCTTCTCCGATTCTCTCCTCTGTCATCTCCACTTTTACTCAATAGAGCCCATCCAGAGAGATTTTTTCAAATTTCTGTTACTGTATTTTATATTTCTGTAATTTCCATTTGATTCTTCTTCAGTTTATTTGCTGAAGTTTTCAGTTCTTTGTTTGTTGCCATAGGATTTGTAGTTGCTTGTTGAAGCATTTTTATACTGGCTGTTATAAGCGATGAGTCAGATTATTCCAACATCTGACTCATTTCAGTGTTGATGTCTTCAGTTGTCCTTTCACATTAAAATTATGATTTTCTCAGTGGTATGACAGGTCATATTTTGGTTATTCTGTTAGGAGGCCTATGTAAATTTTTTATTTTTGCAGGCAGTCCTCCTGTTTAAGTTTAGTCTGTAGGTCCTGGTCTACATTGTGGGCTGTAATTCCAATGACAATTTAATTTCAGAGCCTTCATGGTGTTATTTTGGTCTGTTTGGCATATCTGGTATCACTGGGGCTCTCCCACCAGTCCCTGCTGATGCCCACCTGAGGGAACAGGGGAGCTGCCCCAGGCTGGGCCACCTGCTGCAGCTAGGTGGGTGGGGAATGGTGGTTGTCTTGGTGTGTGGAGCTGGTTTTCTTGTTGTGGGGAAGATCTCCTTTGATCTGGGGGGATTGAGCCTGCCTGGGTTGCCTTCTATTCTAGGTTGGGAGTTGGGAAACACTGGGTCTGGGTCACCTTCCTGTTGGATGGGATCCAGGGAGACACCTGGCCACTGTGTATTCCCTAGTCCTAGAGTCCCTCAGCAGCCTTTTTCTTTCCACCTTTAGGAATTCTCCATTGGTCATCTCCTGTCTATTATTTCTAGAGTTTAGGTTACACTTCTTAGTCAAGAGGAAATAATGTGTTGTCTTCTCTGGACCAGAAATCCTTAGTGGTGGTTTCGGGTTGTAACTGTGCTAAAGGGAGAATTGGCATATTTGTGATGTCAAGTCTTTCTTTTCAAATTAGGACATATCATCATTCAGTAGACGATATTTACAACACCTACTTCCTTGGGTTGAAGAATGTGGTTAAGGCAAGGAAAGTACTTAACGCAGTGCCTGGTGTGGAGAACACTTACGAGTGTTGGTGGTGATGCTATTTCTTTTGTCCTTTGGTGGCATATTAAAGCTTTTCTTCTTTTTTTAAAAATAAATTTCCAGTGCATTTCTTGTTAGGTTTATTCCTGTTTCATCCTTTTTTGCTTTTATTACAAATAGGAGCTTCCTATCTATTATCACTTCTACCTGGTTCTTTGGCCCTTATGTGAAAATGTTTTAATAACCTTCTAAATGTTGCTCTCCCAGGCTGAGGCAGAAGGGTTGCTTGAGCCCAGGAGGTCAAGGCTGTAATGCACTATGATAGCCACTGCCCTCCAACCTGGGCAACAGAGCAAAAACACTACCATCTCTTAAAATAAGAAAAGTAAGTCAGATCATTCCACTGCCTTGCTCAAAATCCTCCTCAACTTCTCATCTCTCTCAAGTAAACCCAAAATTCTTACAATGACCTAGAACTGTGCCATCTAATATGGTGGGCATTAGCCACCTGTAAGTAAATTTAAACCTATTTAAAATAACATAAAATTTTAAATTTTAATTTAAAATTTAATCTTCAGTCTTGCTAGCCACATTTCAAATGCTTAATAGCCACTTGAAATATTGTAATTTGCTATGGAGTTGGGCAAAGCAGATATATAGCATTTCCATCAGCACAAAAGTTCTATTGGAAACCATTGGTCTAACATCTGGAAAGGTTATTAACTGCCTGCCTGTGGGCAAAACACACTTCCCTGATGCATTTGTTTGGTGGTTGGTTGATTGATTTTTAGATAACTGGAATTTGATACCAGCAGTTATTTGTGTGATTTAAAATTTTAAAAACTTGTATCTTGAAGAGAATACAGAATATTACAACTAAAAAAAAAGTTGCTCTCCCAAATGAGTTTTCACTTGTCTATTTCTTTCATTCTTTTTTCTTTTCCTTTTTTTTTTTCTTTTTTCACACAGGGTCTCACTCTGTCACCCAGGCTGGAGTTCAGTGACGCAATTATGGCTCACTGCAACCTCTGCCTCCCGGGCTCCCAAAGTGCTGAGTTTATAGGCGTGGGCCACTGCACCCAGCCTTACTTATCTATTTCTTTTAAAAATGGGACCTATAATTGAGCCCAGAGCTGCAAAAACAAATGAAGGAATGAATGAGTGAATAAGCTCTTCCCATGGGTTTAGTGCTCTACTCTTAATCTAAATGCTATGTTTTATATAATCTAAGATTTCCTCTAGGTGTGTTACATGATTGTGTTGTGTTGAACTTACACTGAGACTCCTTTTAACACGTGCTGGTATCAGCGTGGGGCTTTTCTATTCACTCTTTGAACTATTCGTTTGGGGGACATAGATAGACCTCTATGTCTCTCATAAACAGTGTCCATTGGCTGGATGTGTTGGCTCATGCCTGTAATCCCAGAGCTTTGGGAGACTGCAACAGGAGGATCATGAGGTCAGGAGTTCAAGACCAGCCTGGCCAATATGGTGATCTCTACTAAAAATACAAAAATTAGCCAGGCCTGGTGGTGGGCGCCTATAATCCCAGCTACTCGGGAGGCTGAGGGAGGAGAATTACTTGAACCTGGGATGCGGAGGTTGCAGTGAGCCAAGATCGTGCCGCTGCACTCCAGCCTGAGTGACAGAGTGAGACTCTGTTTAAAAAAAAAAAAAAGAAAAAGAGTGTCCATTATCTATACTGGAAAAATTGAAACTGATTTTGACATGAAGTTTGACATGAATGTGGATTGGGTCCATTTAGCTTACCTAAACAGATGATGAAATACTAACTGTTTTACGAAGCATTCCCTAGAGCAAAGTTTTGCCTGTGTCTGTGTGTGTAGTGACGGGAATGATGTGAATGAGGCTTGGAACGCGGAGCACACTGTGGGCCTGTGGTGGGTGAGGCCAGCAGCACATGCATGCCTGGCTCACAGAGCAGCCTTTGGGTGTGCTTTTCCCAGAGGAATTCTATGGTGGTTTTGAAGACTTGGAAACAGGGGACGTGCACAAGGGAAAATCAGACCCCGATACTCAGGTGTGACTTTATTGTGGCTGGCTGTTCTTGCTCATTGTGTTCTGAGAGACGCCCACCTTGAGAAATGCAAATCTTACTTGTGATGTGTGAAGATTGCAGACTGGATGGATAGATTTCTTACTAAAGGGTGGTGGGGATGTGGGGGCCAGAGAGAAGCTTTCTTGTTTACTTGTTAAGTTTTGGATAACAATTACTACCGCTTCTTGCCACAGTCATTTGCCAAGTCTGCTGTGAATTTTCATTCACAGAAGTCTTAGCTCCTCGGGCTTACATTCCACTGTTGCCATCATTCTCCTCCTCTTAAATGTAAGTGTCATTTAAAAGAACGAAGTCCCTGTTCTCCCTAATATTTCTTTAGAACAGGGTCTGGGAGCATCTCAGTGAGGGACACATCTGTTATTTTTATTCTAGTTTGTGTTCCCAGCCAGCTTAAGGAATGGCAGCTAATTGTAATGCAGATGTAACCATTTCCTGTAGCAGTACCATGTTATTCAGAGACAAAGGTCGTGTTATGTTTTGTTTTATTGATAATGATAACAGATTTTTGCTAAGATTTTTGTTTAAATAGAACTTTAAAAAGTCTAATGTTTAAAGAAAAGACCTTCATAACTGTACACAAAATTTTTCTTCTGGAAATTTAAGAATGAAGATGTAGAGAAAGAAGTTAAGGAAGAAATTGACCCCAACAAAGAGGAAAGTGCCACGAAAAAGAATTTGGATAAGAAGAGTAAATTGAAGGAGATGTTTGATGCAGATTATGATGAAGGAAAAAGCACATATTTTGATGATCTTAAAGGAGAAATGCAGAAACAAGCACAGGTGAGAAGCCTCAGTTCCTCTCAGCCCCTTGTCAAGACTATCATAGCACAGGAATCCCTGATTTTGTTTGGGTCCCTGCTTCCTATCCTGCTTCTGTGCCTTTCATTTGGACTCCTGCGTAGAGATGCACGTGAGTGTGTTTATTCATGCAGTGAGCTCATTGTTTCTGCAGTCAGAAGGTCACCAGAAAAAGATCCATACCTATTTTGTAACAAGAATTAGGAAACAGAAATGACTGAGGCATGGTCTCTACTTTGGAGACTTTTACAATGTAGTGATCTGAGACAGTGTATTCATTTCAGTGCAAGCATTGGCTGCCTATTCTGATTGCTGCTTCCTGATTTGAATGGCAGGTGATCAGTGGCCCGTGTGGCTTATGGACACACCAGAGCTCCCAGGAGGAGTGCTCTGAAAACTCATCCTGGTCAGAGTTCAGAAGGACATGTGGAATGTAAGGTCTGATGCAGACATAAAGGGAGATGGTGTGGCCCTCCTGCCTGGGGGTGCTGAGCAGGTTGCTGGAGGCGGTGATCTCACTCTGAAGGAGACAGACACAGAAAAGTGTGTACAGTTGATGGTGAGCATCTGAGTTGCGCCTTGTTAGTGAGGCCCGGAGTGCCTGTGTAAGCTGGAACAGATCTAGGTCTTCATTTAGTCAAAGAACTATCTCCTGATTACACATTAGCTTAGTGGTTGCAAGTCTGTGTTGACCTTTGTCAGGCATGACTAGGTTAACTCTGAACTTTTTGCTTCACACCATTTACAATTTAAAATTACCTAGAGCCTTGTGGGCCGTTGGAAAAGACTGAATGTTTCACTCTGAAATGGGAGTCCTTGGAGGGTTTTGAGCAGAGGAGAGACATTCAGGTAATCGGATCACTCTGCCAAGAGATCAGTCGGGTGGCACAAACCAGAGAGCTGGCAGTGGAAATGAGACAGAGTCAAACCCGGATAGACTTTATTTAGAAGCTGGGTCAGTAGGATTTCCTGGTGGACTGAATGTGGGGTGTGTAAGAGGAAATGAGGATGGTGACTGGAAGTTCCTGGAAGGATGGGTTGTTGTAAGTTAGACAGGAAACCCTCTGCAGATGCAGCTTTGGGAAGATGATGTTTGGGTTGGCTGGGTGTCATGCAGACAAGCAGAGTGTCAGGTCTGGAGAGCGAGGTCTGGCGAGGGACTTAGATGTACAGCCCTCAATATGTAGATGCTACTTAAAGCTGTGAGGTGGGCCGGGCGCGGTGGCTCAAGCCTGTAATCCCAGTACTTTGGGAGGCCGAGACGGGCGGATCACGAGGTCAGGAGATCGAGACCATCCTGGCTAACACGGTGAAACCCCGTCTCTACTAAAAAAAATACAAAAAACTAGCCGGGCGAGTTGGCGGGCGCCTGTAGTCCCAGCTACTCGGGAGGCTGAGGCAGGAGAATGGCGTAAACCCGGGAGGCGGAGCTTGAAGTGAGCCGAGATCGCGCCACCGCACTCCAGCCTGGGCGACAGAGCGAGACTCCATCTCAAAAAAAAAAAAAAAAAGCTGTGAGGTGGCCGGGGAGTGAGTGTAGAGTGAGTTGGAGGAGCAGCACTGGTGTGGGCAAGAGAGGACGACTGTGGCCATGAGGCCTAAGCAGTGCCCAGGAGGGAGAAGCAGTGTAAGCATGCACGCATGCGGGAGACCAGCTGTACATGGAGACCACGTGCTGTTCAGACCCTGCTGCCATGTTAACTGCGGTGAAGGCAGAGTTGACCACTGGAGCAGGGGCGTGGAGGCCTTCAGCGAGCTTAGCAAGCACCAATTTTCATGGATATAGGAGAATGGGAACAGAGGAATTGGAGGCTGCGACTGCAGAAAACTTTTGAGGGGTTTTGCTGCAGAGAGAAGCAGAAAAATGGAGCAGTTGGTGGTGGAAGAAGTGGAATCAAAAGGTTTTGAGATGAGAGAGAACAGAGGGAAGAGCTGTTGGAATAAAGTCCAGGAAGAGTGGATGGTGTCTAGTGAGCCAGTGATGTGTGGCCCTGAGTAGAAGCATGGACAAATCATCTGTTCCTGAGCTGCCCGTAGAACTTTCTGTGATCATGGAGATGCACGTCTGTTCTTCCCAATATTGTAATCCTGGCCGCAGGTTGATATGGACCACTTCCAGTGTGGCTAGTGTGATTGAGGAACTGCGTTTTAAATATTATGTAATTGTAATTAATTTTAATTTAAATAGCCACACATAGCTCCCCTACGGGCCAGGTTGGAGCTCTAATAAGGCTGGATATGGGAGGAAACCCTGGTAGAGGGTTGACCATGGAGGTTCTTTTGGTTTTGGAGTGAATCAGGAAACAGCCATCAGCTGAGTGAAGGTGAGGGTGGTGGTGGGTGTTTGAAGACGGGGAAAGTGTGAAAGAATTGTTTGGAGAGGAAGGAAAGAAGGTGTGGACTGGGGATGTTTCCAGTGTTCGGGCACACAGGGCTCCACCGAGTTATCTACATTTGCTGTCCCTTGGAGCAGCAGAGAAGAAAACAGGACATATTCTGAGCAGACTGCAGAGGTAAAATGTGTGGTTTTGTTTGTTTTGTTTTGAGATGGAATCTCACTCTGTCACCCAGGCTGGAGTGCAATGGCATGACCTCAACTCACTGCAACCTCCGTTTCCCGGGTTCAAACGATTCTCTCACCTCTGCCTCCTGAGTAGCTGGGACTACAGGCATGCACCACCGTGCCCAGCTAATTTTTGTATTTTTATTAGAGACAGGGTTTCACCATGTTGGCCAGGTTGGTCTCAAACTCCTAACCTCATATGATCTGCCGGCCTCAGCCTCCCAAAGTGCTGGGATTACAGGCATGGGCCACCGTGCCCCGCCAAATGTGTAGCATTTTTAATAGGATAAAGCCTACATAATTCAGTCCACAGTTCCTTTACTTAGAAATTGCTCCTTTGTTCATGTTAATCTTATGTTTATTACAGATAACGGCATATGTGTTTTTTTTCCTGTCATGTATAGCTGAATCATGCAGAATTTGAAGATCAAGATGATGAAGCCAGAGTTCGGTATGAGGGTTTTCGACCTGGGATGTACGTCCGCGTTGAGATTGAAAATGTTCCCTATGAATTTGTGCAGAACTGACCCCCATTACCCCATTATCCTGGGTGGCTTGGGCAACAGTGAGGGAAATGTTGGATACTTGCAGGTAGTTCCCTTTGCCGGGTATTTGGTGCCTGAGGCTCTGTGGATTTCCCCTCCATCAATCATCTTACCCTCTTGTCCCCTCAGATGCGTCTGAAGAAACATCGCTGGTATAGGAAATCCTCAAGTCCTGAGATCCAGTCATATTTTCTGTAGGGTGGAGGAGGTTTCAGACCATCCCACTCTATTATATCGAAGACCACAATGGAAGACAAAGGCTTCTAAAGTATACCCCACAGCACATGCATTGCGGAGCAGCCTTTTGGGGTAAAATATGATGACAATAACTTGCTTATTGCCAAGATTACACCTTACAGGCTGCATCATTACAGCTTTGTGCTTTTCCTGTCATAAAATTCCACTCCTAAGATTTTTCTCTTTTCTGGGAGCGGGGAGGTGGTTTGGAGTATATATGTAAATCTATATCCAAATCCAAATGTCCATATCCAGTATGTTAAACTAGAATCTAAAATTTGTGGTTTGCTATATTTCTTTTTTTCCTTTTCCTATAACGCCCTATCACTCCACAGGGAACTGGTTTCTTGGCAATACAGTCTATCAGTGGCATAATGGTAACTATCTTGGATGATTTCTTTTACAGATTGGTTTGAGAAATGTATGCTGAATGTGGGTTATTATGTACATGAGACTTTAAGTTGAAAATTATTCATTTTTAGTATTATAAAGTAAATTTCCGTTTGCTTTTAATCTTCCTACATCCTTTTCAGTAGGGTGTGGGAGTAGAGGAGGTGAGGTGGAAGAATTATAATGGTCCTGAAGACATATTCTACTTTTGTGCATCTTTTGGATTTATTTATCTAAGCAAGTACTTAAGAAGTGCTCACCATGTGCCAAGCACCATATGAGGTTGTGAGGAGCCATCAGAGACCAGCCAGACACGAGACTCCCTGCAGCCGTGCTGGGGTAGCAGTCTGTTCACACCATTTTCATTTGACCAGTCAGGCAGGGCAGGGTTTATCGGTCCCATTTAACAGAGAAGAAAGCAGAATAATGAGCAGATGGAACCTGCCCTGGAGGTCCAAATTTTGATTTCCTAAACATTGCAACTGTATTTTTCTTTTCCATTTCATTCTAAATAGATCGTTATAGTGAATTACGTTCCTCTGAAATCACTCTCGGGAGAGTACTCAAGTTGCCCCCGCCACCCCCCCACCTTTTTTTGAGTCAGAGTCTCACTCTGTTGTCCAGGCTGGAGTGCAATGGTGCTATCTTGGCTCACCACAACCTCCGCCTCCTGGGTTCAAGTGACTGTCCTGCCTCAGCCTCCTGAGTAGCTGGAATTACAGGTTGCACCACCACACCCAGCTAATGTTTGTATTTTTAGTAGAGATGGGGTTTCACCATGTTGGCCAGACTGGTTTCGAACTCCTGACCTCAAGTGATCCACCCGTCTCAGCCTCCCAAAGTGCTGGGATTACCTGCGCTCAGCCTCAAGTCACCCTTGTTAGCTTGGCTTACCAATTTTAAAGTTTTGGATTGCTTTTGTCAAACCACTGGGTTGCCAGTTCAAATGGTCTCCCTTATTTTTCTTAGCTAATTGTAAGTAAAATTCACTTTGGTAATGTATTGTGTCACATAGAATTGAAGTTTTTCTCTAGCTGATATTATTACTATTTTCAAATTTTGGGGTTTCCCTTATCCTGATTTTCGGATAGCTGCCACAGGAGTTGTCCTTGATCTGGATAAATCCATAAAAATTGTGAAGAAATTAAAGCTAACTGGTTTTCCATATAAAATTTTCAAAAACACTTCATTTATTAAGGTCTGTATATCTATATATTCTCATATTTATAAATGTCCATATTGTTTGAGAAAAGGAATGAAATACTTCTAAAATATGGGCCTCAAGTTTTTAGAAAAGTATTTGAAATCTTTTATAAACTTCATATTTTGTTTGTTCCTCCGGTCCTGCGTATGCAGGTGGTCCCAGGGCGGCTGGATGCCCATCTGGCAAATGATGGGGGCCTTTGGGTACTGAATGGGGTAGTAGATGTAAAGTATGATACAGAACTCAATAAAGGTGAGCTGCTTCTGTTACAAGACATGCTGTTTTCATTATTGGCTCATTTAATCATCGTAACCATTCTTTCGACTTAACCACCTCCATTTAAATGTGACTACTAAAGATTCAGAGAGATAAATTCGTTTACCCATGGTATTAGCAGGTGGGATGTAAATCCTCACTTTTTTCTCCGAATTCATGCGCCTTCCCACACTAAAATCCAGTCTTGCCTTGTATTTAGCACAGCATTTGTCCCTTGAGCACCACCAGAATGTAGCTGTGGAGTGTACTGAACCCAGTCTTAACCATGTAGTGTTCTATTTCCAAAAATGCTTGGGGGAATCTTCAGAGCCCTTGAGTCAAGAGGTGAATTATTTAAGGCCTTCCTGCATCCTTAAACCTTAGTTTCTTCTTTGAGGACTGTGAAACCTGTAAATTGAAACCACAATTTGAGCCCTCAATTTTGCATTTTACAGAAGCTGGGAATCCCATCCATCCCAGATGCTAGTTTCTGAAGAGAGGAAATGGGTCAAAGAATTTTTTTTAAAGATGAAAACTGCGGTTCATCAGTTCCACAATTTTATGGTGGTGATATGATAATACTTCTCATTGGCTGATAACTGAGCTTAGGTATTTTCTAAGCACTATGCTAGCTGGAAGTGGTTTTTGCTGCTTATTTTAGTTTTCCTTTTTTTTTTTTTTGGTACATAATGTACATATTTGTGGGGTACATGTGATATTTTGATATATGCATACAATGTGTGATCAAATACAGTATCCACCACCTCATTTCTTTGTTTTGTGAATATTCCAAATCTTCTAGCTATTCTGAAATACACAATAAATTATTGTTAACACTTGTCACCATACTGTGCTATTGAACACTAAGACTTATTCCTTCTACCTATTTTTGTACCCATTAACCTCTCTTCATGCCTCGCTCCCTGCTTCCCTTCGCAGCCTCTGGTAACCATCATTCTACTTCCTACCTTCATGAGATCAACTATTTTAGCTCCCATGTATGAGTAAGAGCATGATATTTGTCTTTCTGTGCCTGGCTTATTTCATGCAACATAATGTCCTCCAGTTCCATCTTTGTTGTTTCAATGACAAAATTTCATTCTTTTTATGGCTGAATAATACTCCATTGTGTATATATACCACAATGTTCATTACCTATTCATGCATTGATGGGCACTTAGGTTGATTCTGTATCTTGACTATTGTGAATAGTGCTACGATAAAAATGGGAGTGCAGAGATCTCTTCAATATACTGATTTCCTTTCTTTTGAATATATACATAGCAGTGAGATTGCTGGATCATATGGTAATTGTGTTTTTTATTTTTTGAGGAACCTCCATACTGTTCCACAGTGACTGTACTAGTTTACATTGCCACCAAGAGTGTATGAGGGTTCTCCTTTCTCCATATCCCCCAGCATTGGTTTTTTTTTTTTTTTTTTTTTGCCTTTTTTATAATAGCTATTTTAAGGGGTAAAATGATATCCCATTGTGGTTTTGATTTGCATTTGTCTGATGATTAGTGATGTTGAACATTTTATTATATACCTATTGGCCATTTGTATGTCCTCTATTGTGAAATGTCTGTTCAGATCATTTGCTCAATTTTTTTAAATCAAATTTTTTGTTTTCTGGCTATTGAGTTCCTTATATATTCTGGTTATTAATTCCTTGTGAGATGGATGGTTTGCAAATATTTTCTCCTATTCTTTAGGTGTCTTTTCACTGTGATTGCTTACTTTGCTGTGCTGAAGCTTTTTAGTTTGATGTAATCCCATTCATCTATTTTTGCCTTTATTGCTTATGCCGTTAAGGTCTTACCAAAAAATTTTTGCCCAGACGAATGTTCTGAAGCATTTCCAAATGTTTTCTTCTAGTAGTTTCATAGTTTCAGCTCATACATTTAAATCTTTAATCCACTGTCATTTGATTTTTGCATATGATGAGAGACAGGGTCTAGTTTCATTCTTCTGCATACGAATATCCAGTTTTCTCAGCACCATTTATTGAAGAAACTGTCATTTCTCCAATGTATGTTCTTGGTGCCTTTGTCAAAAATGAAATTGGCTATAAATGCATGTATTTATTTCTCAATTCTCTTTTCCGTTGGTCTATGTGTCTCTTTTTATGCCAGTAACCTACTGTTTTGTTTACTATAGCTTTATAGTATATTTTGAAGTCTGGTAGTGCAACACCTCCAGCTTTGTTTTTTTTTTTGCACAAAATTGCTTTGGCCATTCGGGGTCTTTGGTGGTTCCATATAAATTTTAGGATTTTTTTCCTATTTCTGTGAAGAATGTCATTGGTATTTGGATATGGATTGCATTGAATCTGTAGATTGCTTTTAGTACTGTGGACATTTTAACAATATTAATTCTGCCAGTCCATGAGCATGGGATATCTTTCCATTTTAATGTCATTCACCAGTGTTTTTACTCTTTTTTTTTTGAGACAAGGTCTCAGTTTGGTGCAATCTTGGCTCACTGCAATCTCTGCCTCCCAGGTTCAAGCGATTCTCCCATTTCAGCCTCCTGAGTACCTAGGATTACAGGAGTGTGCCACCACACCTAATTTTTTGTGTGTGTGTGTGTGTGTGTGTGTGTGTGTATTTTTAGCGGAAACAGGGTTTTGCCATGTTGGCCAGTCTGATTTTGAACTCCTGACCTCAGGTGATCCAGTCGCCTCCGCCTCCCAAAGTGTTGGGATTACAGGTGTGAGCCACAGTGCCCAGCCTGTTTTATATGTTTAATTGTAGGATCTTTTACTTTTTTGGTTAAATTTATTCCCAGGCGTTGGGAGTTTTTTGGTAGCTATTGTAAATGAGATTGCTTTCTTGATTTCTTTTTCAAATTATTCACTGTTGGTGTATGGAAATGCTACTTTTTTTTTTTCTTTTTTTCTTTCTTTCTTTTTGTTGAGACAGAGTTTCTCTCTTGTTGCCTAGGCTGGAGTAAAATGGCATGATCTTGGCTCACTGCAACCTCCATCTCCTGGGTTCAAGCGATTCTCCTGCCTCAACCTCCCGAGTAGCTGGGATTACAGGTATGTGCCACCATGCCTGACTAATTTTGTACTTTTAGTAGAGACAGGTTTTCTCCTTGTTGGTCAGGCTGGTCTCGAACGCCCGACCTCAGGTGATCCACCCACCTTGGCCTCCCAAAATTCTGGGATTACAGACGTGAGCCACCGCACCTGGCCTGCTACTGATTTTTTAATGTTGATTTTGTATCCTGCAACTTTACTGAATTCATGTATCAGTTCTACCAGTTTTTTTGGTGGAGTCTTTATGTTTTGCTAAATATAGGGTCATGTCATTTGTAAACAAAGATAATTTGACTTTTTCCTTTCCAATTTGGATGCCCTTTATGGTTTCTGCTGCTTATGAAAAGGACCTTAGGATTGTGACATGTAGTTGTCTTTTGTTACATACATGAAGTGCTTTTAGAAGCTAGTTTTCTGTCATTGTCAGCAGATTAGATTCTCAAGTCAGAGTTCATCAGGGCCTAATTAAATTTTACCTTAGGCCT